AAAGGACAGGCCTTGGCCCCTTTATAGAAAGGGTGAATATCAAGCGTCCTCGGCGTGGCCGTTTGGAACTTGCCTAAAATCGAGGAGTCATACTAATAAGCACGATTGGGTTACCCACACCTGTATTTATGAGAATCCCGTGATAAGGGAAACACGATCTCTGCTTCGATGAGACGTGCCAATAAAACCGCCTCGCAACACGTGCAGTGGCAGGCTGGGAAAAACGGTTCATAATGACCGGACCACGGCAGATGTCACGTTATGAAATGTTGTCAGGAGATTAGATTTGTGAAATATTATACTCTCTACGGTGGTATGTGGAATTTGTTTTACAGAGTCGGACACAATCCTTGTGTTCAAAATCTTCTATGAAGTATTCGGAGAAGGAACCCGCCTTGCAATGCCGAAGACAATCTGTGCGCCGGACTTATCGTCATTAAAGTCTGGTTCAGGGGCTACTGAGGGAGTCCTGGATTAGGGGGTCCTCGGATAGCCGGACTATATACTTTGGCCGGACTATTCACTACAAGAAATATGCTATCTTATGACCTCCACTATTGGTCATTGAAAGGTCATAGTTTTTTATTTGCGACCTTTTTGTGACCAAAAACAGAAAGTCAAAAGCTGGCGGTCGTAAACTGAAATTAACGACTTCTGTGTGAGAAGGTCGTAGACGTTTTTGACCAAAACAGAAGGTCGTTGAATCCATGACCTTTTGTTTTGGTCACTGGCTGTCTGCCCAGGCCACGTCAGATCCGACGTGGCAATCTGACGTGGCAAAATTGCGACCAATTAAAAAGGTCACTGACAAGATTCAGCCCGATCCGATTAGGTGTTTTACATGGGCCGAGCCCATTAATTCGGCCTATTTGTTGTTTTTTTTCTTTCAATTTGAGTCAACTACATGGGTCGGGCGAAACAATTTGGCATTTTTATTTCTAGGCCTTAGCCATTTCGAAGTCCATTTCATTAAGCCCTTTTGTACCATTTTTTCATAAATGCACAACATTCTGGTCCACTATTGTTTGGGCCATAGCCTTTTTAGAGCCCAAATATTATTTGATCCAATAGAACATCCAAACCTTTTCATTCACAGATTTCAAATTTACACATTTCAACAGCAAACAGTCAAACATTCTCTCAATTAAATGATCAAATCCAAAAATCTATCAATGAAACTCACAATAGCACATGTACAATAGCACATACTGCACGATCCAACAAGTGTACATACAATCAAAAAACAAATACACATGCACCAAAACTTGGTGGCAACATCAAATAAAACTTGGTGAACATATCCAGGCTTCTTCTGATCCTGATCCTGATCTACATAAATTAGATCCTGATCCTGATCTAATTTATGTAGTGAGATACAATGAAAGTTGAATGATTGCCACACAAATGTAAAAAATCTGGACTGGTTAAATAATAATTGTATCCTTCTCTACAAGCACATATGAATAGTTAATAAGTACTAATCCTATCATGTATGGCAGGCTTGCAAGATGGAGATGCATACATGACTAAACACAAACATATTATGGTATGACCAGGGTGAGAAAATCAACAACTCGATCGACCCAACATTGAAATCGGACATGATATCTTAAAACAGCAAGAAACGGGAAAAGTAGACTCATACATCAGGACCACTAAAACCAAGCACATCACAACCATGGTCGAGGAAATAATCAACATCTGCATTTTACCACAGTACACTTACCACAAAACTGTCATCAGTACAGAGATCATTAGCTAGCACCGCATGAAGCATCCATACATCAAACTGATTTTTCTGCTGTTGGTTGAAACACTACACCTCAACCAGAAATTTGTAAGTACATGAGACAATGGCTTAACAGAAGAACATTGTGACTTCTTCGGCTATTTGTTTCAACAGCAGTACAAACCTCACCTCTGTTACACCCTCAGCAGCATTAAATAATGCCTGATAATCTGCACGTACAGAAGATTCATACACAGTCATTTACAACATTCAGCATGTTATCTACACAGAGAAGAGAAAAGTCAAACAGATCTCAATCATTTTGCCGTATTAACACATGCACATCAAGTAAGAGTGGTGCTCTGTTTTTACCACAGCGGCACAAGCGAGACAATGTCCGATTCGCCCTACTCCTCCACAACATTCGCCCTACGTTTCAAAGCACACTGCATGGGAACAAAGACACTTATGAACAAAGATATGCCTCAAATTTCAACAGAACACTACTGTGGTAGCTAAGCTAGTAAATGCACAAACATATAAGCATGCAGAAATAGTAGTACTAGTCATATACATGACACATCATGCAACAAGATCTAAAATGAATAAATCTGGGGTAGAAGAAAAAATATAATACCAAATACCAACTAAACAGTACAGGATGCTAGTAGCAGAACAAACACAACTATATCTGCCAAATGCACAGGCCAATTAAGCATGTTCCTCCAATATTATGCAATCTCAGATGCAAACAGGTAACAACGCCTATTTTTCTTGTCATAAGAAGAGGCTAGAGCCCTTTTCTGTTTGGTGATGGTGTCGATGGGGCGACGGTAGGCACGCCTATATTTACAAGAACAACAACTGGGCATTTTGTACGAGTAAGGATATCCTGTAGTTACCTGAATTAACAAACTACGCACACCCTAAAAAGTGACAACAAAGGTACGCATGGGCATTCATGGCCATAGCAATAGTTCAAGGATAAAAGCATAGATGATATATTTTTTAAGATCCACAAACCCAGACACAACAAGTTCTTACTAGACTATCAACATATATACATGTATGTTTTTACAACAAAAATGTCAAGTTTTTATGTATCAATAAGAATAAGATGGTCAATCAAACATTTCGAGGCATGGTATGAATTTCCATGACTGACAATCAGCTAGTTGCCGATCCATGATTTTATAGTACAGTGCAAGATAGCTATCATCATTAAACAATTCAAGATTGAAGAATTCAAAACATGTGAATTGGAGTAAATTGTAGCTTGGGTATTCTCTGCATGAAGCTTGTCCTGGAAACAGAAATTAAACATCAGTCTAAGCCACTTTCTTGTATGGGATAGAGCTGTACAAAGGCAAAGAAAACAAAAACATCACTCACCCACAGCTTGTAGGACTTTGGACTCTGAGTCAGGCACCAACTGAACACATCAGTTGCCTCCTTGTCAAGCTTTGCATTATCTGAATATAATACACAGGTAAGCTAACCGGAATTTGCAAAACAAAATTAAACCGGCTCTATATTGCAGAATGAACACATTTCCACTCACTTTCTTGAATTGCCTTCACAGCCAACGACAAAAGCTATTGCGATGCTTGCTTCACAGCCTTAGAGCACCAACAAGAGCCAGCTCCTTTATTGTTGGGTAGGCTACTTCCAACCTTTCTGTAGCCTAAAGAATTCAATGCAGAGGTATTAGAATATTGTCTCATATTAAACATACCAAGGAAAAGATACAAAATAGTATGTATTGAACTGAGTTGAATTAGAGGACTACTATCAGTTAGGAAGCAAGCGCCGTGCATACAATCAAGCTGCAAGAATTGCATTTCTACACTATGGAGTCTGAGAGAATATCTAACCATTATCTTGGTACGGCAATAATCACTGTCACTCCCAGTGGTATCAATTTTATTCATGGTGAAGCACAGCAAATTGCCGTGAAAGATTTAGTACAAACAGAACAGAGACTGGTCGGGCAAACGAGACATCAAATTCTTTCCCGAGAGCAGCGCCCCGCCACGCTTGTTCTTCAGTTAAAATCTCAACAGGTAAACTACAGGAATTGATAGGAAGAATTTCTCATGAGAAACATCAATCGATCACAGCAACTCAGGAAGCAGTAGAGTGGCTTGAGTAGGTAAGTTTTTGAGAATTGCCAAGCCTTGTACAAGCCTGGGAGTTGACTAATCAATCAAGCAAGGCTTGACCTGGTCAGAATCGGCCTAGATCGCCGAATGGGCGACGTTGGCTTGACTAGTTGACTCCCGACAGGACCAGTGCAGATGCAACCACACATGCATCATATTAACTGCAAGAGATCGACAGATATTCGTACCTTACCGGAGACCTTGCGCATCCCATCGAGGATGCAGCCGAGCAGCGACGACTTGCCGGACCCGACCATGCCGACCACCGCGGCCAGCTTGCCGCTGCGGATCTCCAGGTCGATGCCTCGAAGCACCTCCATCCCAGCCTCCGTCTCCTCGTCGTCCCACGTGAACACCCCGTCCCTCGCCTGCACGGCTACCCCGCCACCGCGCGACGCCGCCGCCGGCTGCCTCTCCACCGCGCCCTCGTCCAGCTCCGGGCTCGTCATGTAACTGCCACACCACACCACTTGCACGACCAATCAACTCGCAGACGGAGACGGGGAGGAGGCGAAGACGGAGGATACTGCGGAGCTGCGGGGGCAGACGAAGACGGCGTGAAAGGGCAGCCGCCACGGACGCGTCCCCATGGCGGGGTGGTGGGTTGGCGCGGGGATCCGGAGCGAGGAGGAGGAGGAGGCGGCCATGGTGGACAGTACGGGGTGCGGGGGCGGCGGGGTTGTGTCCATTGGATCTGGGGGATCGAGGCAGGGG